CAGAGACACAGAGACACAGAGTAACATTTTATTTAAGTAAGATTTAAAGTCATTTAAAGATGTATTTTGCGTTTCAGTTAATACTGGACGCATATGTTAAATGAAAAAAAAAACGATAGAAACAACCAAACGCATTTTTTTGTTTTACATTCAAATTATGTGTTCATAAAGGCACGCAATCAATTGATATGGATCGAAGTATTCCGAAAATACCTAAGAGGCTTGTTTACCGTCGAGACTTTGTGCATTTCGAAAAAGCAATCAAAATGTGGCCAAATTATTTCTTGTTAAATACATTTTTTATTCGTCTATGAAATCGAGGGTAAAACAAGACACATACAATGTATCGCACAGCAGAACAGAGCAAAAAAAATAAAATAAAAGAAGAAGCAACAACAAATGTTTAATCATATGTATTTACGTACATTTGGAGGCAATGTGCATGTTTGTGGATTGTGGAATTGTGGAGTGCCAGATTGTCGTGAGCATTTGGTTCGGTTTTTGAAAATGACTGTTTTGGAAATCGTTTGTTCCATTGCTATGATACATGTTTGGTTGCCTGTTTGTAGCAATGGTGGAAACAACAAGCATTTGGTATTTTTCTAGTCGTATTTGGATTTCAGTTGTGTTGTTGCTACTGTTAATATTGTATGGCATGCTTAATGTCAATAGCATTGTTGCCCATTTGCATTGCGATACAATGGAATGTGTTATGCATGTGCTGAGAAATGAAATATCATAAGCAGGTATTCTGGTTAAGAGGAAACTTAAAGTAAAGCCAAAAGTGACGGGTGATAAAGCAGCATTTTGCTAACACATTCCATTTCATGGTACAAGGAAAATTTTTCATTTAAATTTTCATTGAAAACACGTATACATAACGCATACAAACACATGTATCGAAAATGGTCGGCGACCAAAGCTACGACATTGAATACGTGACAATATGATGTGTGAAGAGAAAATAAAGATGCGGCTCCTTAAGATTTACCACTTTTGTCTGATATCGCTATACGCTCATAAAATGATTTCTGACATGTCTCATATTTCACTACCCCACACTTTCTCTCTCTCTCTCTCTCTCTCTCTCTCTCTCTATCGCTCACTATTTCTCTTGATTGAAAGATTGTTAGTGGTTCATCACGTGTATGGTATGAATCCAATTCATGTAGATTTTCACACATTATTTTGTCATTTAGAAATGAGCGAGGACTACTGCATATAATGACATTCGTCGTACTTTTCACATGAACCATTCTCTTTCATTCTCTCTTCCTCTCTTACTTCCACCTAGCGATTTGAGTTTAAACGAATTGAAGCTTGTTTGTTAATTGCTTACAGAGCAGAGAGTATTGTGAATGTGATGATCAAGTGAAATTAAATTAACTTGTATCGAACAAGTCAATCTCTGTCGCACCTTTGATGCAGTTTCAACGAGAATGAGCAGCAACAAAAACAAGTGTATTTATTCAAAATGAAAAGAATGCTAAAAGTGGCAAAACCATTTACGTACACCCAGAGACGGCTACCCCATTAAGTTATCACATGACAAAATTCATCAAATGGGCCACATTTCCAACTGATTGTGTAATTTTTCATATTTTAAATTCAAATACGGAAATCGTTTGTCATTTCACTATAGTTTTCTTCTAGACAGGCAGACCTTATCGTCGTTTGTTTCATATTACATTTGACCGTATTTTTTCTTCCTTCGAACGCCAACAACTGACAACGATGAACAGCAACAAATAAATCACACATGATATGTCTCGGTCATTTTGGTCTTCGAAAATGCGGCGAAGGCAATGAGTGAAAGAGAAAACCGACCGCGTTCAATGGCAATGGGAAATGAAAGGCATGTTGGTGAAGAGAGGGAAGAAAAGCTAGTTATGACATTGAAATTAATCAAAAGCCACAGTCGAACAGTGTCTGAATAAAGGTAACATGTACTGAGTTAGCAGCATCAATGGTAAATGGATGGTGAAGGATAGAAGCATAGCAAATAACATAGGATACCTGTCGTGGTGGTGGTGATGTGTATGTGTGAATAACAAACAACTGAATAATGACAAACGTTTGACAAATGGAAAAAAAGTGTACAGTACAAAATGCAGCAGTTTAATGTTTTTTTAAGTAATGTAGAAGTAGTGGATAAGTTGGAAACGGCGACAACGAGAGAGAAACGATGAAGGCAACGCGTAACATATATAGAAAACAAAGGAGAGAAAGAGTAAATGAGAGAGAGAATGGATGTATATGGAACGGGAAATTCGAAGAAAATGAAATCGTATAACTTAATAGGATTCAGATTTTCCAATGTGCTCTGCGATTTAATTGTAAGAGGAAAAGTCAATACATGCAAACAGACATTCAGTATTCGATGTTGCATGAGAAGCACACAAGCATGAAAGGTACGATACGCATATGATCTGAAGCCCATACTAGCTAATTCGACGCATTCCACACAAATGTATCGCCAAGACACCTCGGGATGAATATTGAAGAAAAAAATGAACTAAATGCAAAAAAATTGTTATCCTCTCCTTAAAAAAGAAACAACATCAACCGAGCGGTAAAAGCAACAACAAAAAGTTTACATACCGAAAAAAGATCCGATTCAAACTTTTTTCTTTGCTTAAATTCCTTCATTGAATGGAAAAATGAATATATGCATATGGCATAGATCTATTTGGTAGCATGAATTATCAATATTATTATTATTAGTTGACTTGGCTGTTTTCGCTTGTGTGCAACACGCTACTTAACTTTTAACTTGGGAACCTATAAATCAAGGTTCGCGCGCGCGATATGTGGAACCAGACACAGTGGGGTGTAAGCCTGGATAACCCCCCTCAAATCGTCCGGGCTAAAGCTGTTTTTTGCCGAAAAATCTTTCGATTTGCTAGGGATTTTCGGCGAAAAAGAGAAGACCTTTTTTTTGCTTTTCAAGTTTGTGAGGAATAGAAAAATTTTAAAATTGCTAGGATTTTTCGCAATAAAGAATGTCTTGATTTGCTAGGGTTTTTTGAGTGGCCGGTGGCCTCCCCTTAAATGTTTTCCGTGCCCATGTATGCGCTGTACCCATTGTTGAAGGAATAGATGAAGCTTTAATCATATATATACCATATACGATACATACTTACACCACATTGTGATAGAATGTAAAAAGAGATCGAAAGCAGCGAGCTATAATGATGACTGGTATTGAAGCGATTTACGAATATTTTTTGGGTTTTATTCTTATTTTGATGTTGACGTGCGCGAGAATGAAAGCAAAAGAATGAAAGGAAGAGAGATATAGAGTGAGACGAATGGGCTGCAAAAATACCTAAAACCGAAGCAAGTTAAATATTTCAAGCCAAAATGAATGCGAAAGTCTATGACAGAGCATCAACGACAGCATGAACGTGAAAATGACGAGAAAAAGTAAAGCAGGCAAAAGATAAAGTGAAATAAATGCCAGCATCGGTATAAAATTGAATGTATGTAAATACCACATGCTGTAGCGTGTGCACATGTATAGATATATGATGAAGCTGGCTCACTGTCATAAGGGCATCTGGTGCAAGAGAGTATCTGCTAACGTGCCGCACATTGGAGACACCACGAGCAACAATCGAAATTTGTTTGATACCGAGCACGGCACATTCATATTTCCAACGAATATGTTATGTTTGGCTGTGTTAAGAACATAAGAACTGATGGAACGACAAACGAAACGTGAATGAATTGTGTGTTTGTATCGCACGCGTCAAACAAAAGCAAAAAAAAAGAAGCGTGATTGTGAGAGAGAGAAAACGGACGACGACGGCAACGACAACGATGAATAACAAAAATAAACAAAAAAAAAAGATATTGCAAAGAAATTTCATTTCCACTGTTGCTGATGCGTTGGAAGTTATTGAAAACAAACGACACACGTCTATAGAATTGAAAACTCAAACCGAGATCCAGAGCAAAAGAAATCGAAATGATGATGATGATTTTATGTATGACTGTGTGACGGCAGGCAGAATAATATATATAAATCTTTAGAACATCAAAATGATGGTTTTGCATAAGATACATTTTCAAAATATCCAAATTTAACCGACCAAATAAAGATTGTACCTTGGCATTCGGCTCCTTGTTGAGCCACTGTGCGGTGCTTACACATACATTTTGTATGATTTTCCGTTTAGCTGTTGCTGCTGCTGTTGCTGTTGCTGCTGCTGCTGCTGCTGCTGCTGCTGCTGCTGCTGCTGCTGCTGCTGATTGTTTGGTGGTTGTTGCTTGATATTGTGTCGCTTTCGATGGAAAATGGTTGCGCATGTTCTATTGAAACGGCATTCAATTTGTACCTTACACATGAAAAACTTGAATGTCTTTTCGTCGAGAGAAAAAGAGAGAGAGAGTGCGAAAGAGAGGGGAGGGGGTAGCGAGAAGGAGAGGAGAGACGGATCACACAGACAAGCTCGCTATTTACTCTCTTTCTCCCGATTTGAAAAAGCTCAAGCACAGACTTAAACACATACAACCAACCAGAGTGTGCACACACATAATCATACGGTGGTTCATACACACAGGAGTGAAAACATTTTATACAAATAATGTGTGGTAGATAGCTGAATGGAAAAGCGCAAGCAAACGGAACTCAGTGAGAGGAGAACAACGAGAAAAACATATATACACACAGTCTATGCCCAGGGTAGATTTTTTAATATTCCCAGTTAAAGGCTACCTTTCAGATTGAAACGTATATTTTATCCAAAAGGGAATCATCATTTTTCGCGTTCAGTTCGTTTATAAGTTGCTTTCTTTTCTTATACTATACATAGTACATATATTTGAAGTATCAAATCGAGGCAAATTTAAGCGCGTTTATCAACAATTTAAATGAAATTAAAGCAAAATACACAAAGAAAAAGAAAACTAACTAGAAAATGTATTTAAAATTATAATTCCGCGCCGAACACAAAACAGTTTTTTTTTTAAATTTAACGTCTCGATAATAACTTAAATTATCCGATTATACTTTTAATTTTGTTTTTCGAATAGAAATACAGTCGGTCGCATTCGCGTTAATTGGAAGTTAATAAACTTGGTTTCTCTCTTAAAAAAAGAAAAAAAAAACCAAAATATAATGATGAAGTTTAATTAAATATATCGTACGGGTGAAATAAATTTTCGTTTTTTCGGTGGAAGTTCGATTTTCATGTGTCTAGGATACTAGAAATAAAATAACGCGCGTGCATAACAAATCTTCAATCGGCAGAGCAGTTCAACAGTTGAAAACGAAAAAACCCAAAGAAAGTGAGATCGTAGAGCGTGGTATTGAAATCACTCTATTAACTATTATATATGATATGTAGATTAGTGTGAAATAACGGTTGAACAAATCCTTTCAAGCTTAATTAATGCAAAGAACGAATGAATGAACAAACAAAGAGGAAGAAGAAGATTTTACAAATATGCATATACCGTAATCTTTGAGCTAGTTCGTAAATGCAAGAATATTTATTTTTCATCGTAACCTTCTATCTCTTGCTTTATTTCTTTCACCTTTCTGAATTGTGTCTCGCGTCTCTGTTTTAATGTGATTTTTTTTTCGCTGGATCTCCTTGATTTTTAGTTAAGAATTGACAGAATTCTCCAGAGTTATCGTTTTATTTTTAAATCTTTTTCTGCTCTTGACTTTGCTTTTTCCTATTCCTCTTTTTTCCGCTTCGCGGTTTTATATTTTCTCTTTTCATTTCGATTGGTATGATAGCTTTTGGTTTCAATGTTATATGTTGATGAATAAATTGCTTTTAATTTTGTCGATGGATAATGAAAAAAAAGAGAATAAATTTAATCATTTAAGTGCGCACTTCTTTTACTCCTATTTGTAAGCGAGCGGCACCTGAAACAAAAAAAGAAGATAAAAACGTATGTGAATCATGACAGAAAGAATGAAATCTGCCATTATTTCGTTCTGTCTAAATTCTGTTTCTTTTTTGTTTCACATTCTCTCCTATCTCTCTCGTTTCGGCGATATTCATTGTGTCTGGTGTTATTTTTTTACTTTGAAGTTCTCTATGGTTTTCTGTGATTGAAAAGAATACTCACAATCACACACACAAAAAAGGAGTGGAAAATCACTTTCGATCTCTCGAAAAACCATTGGAATAAATTTGAATTGATTAAAATTAAAAAGCTTTCATTTTTTTCTCATGTTTTAACTGTATTTTTTTTCTTTCATTATTTTCGTGGTTGTTATGGTTGTTGTTGTTGTTGCGGTAACATTGTTGCTTCGTTGCGTGTCCCGTTCATATTGGCGTGCAAGCATGTCTGTTGCTTTTTCTCTCTTTTTCGCTCTCTATCGCTTTGAATTCGTTCACTCCTCGTCTATATCATCTTACTCCACATATTTTGTCTCTCAGTTTTTTGAGCGCCGTCGTCGTTCTTTGTTGTTGTTGTTGTTTATTATTAATCTTTATATTGTTGTTGGCTCCGTTGAATTCGAATACATTTACCGTTATTCTGTAAAACTGTCAAACCAAATAAGAGGTAACATGGTAAATGTTAATGGCATTTAAATGACAATAAATAAACGTCTGCCATACAAATAAAAGTATCAAGTGCTTTCCGAACGAGAGGGCAAAAAAAGAAAGAAATCTTCTCTCACTGGCCTGAAATGTGAGAGAGACAGTGAATTTACTCTCGTTTATCGTCTCATTTCTCAAGTATTACAGTAAATAAAACATACAATAAAACTCAATAAAATATATATATATATACAATGGACAAACAGTGACAATTTTTTCTCACTTCGTTTCGTTTTTGTTTTCTTCATTCGTTTGTTCAGTCTCTCTTTTTTACTTCGTCCTTTTCGTTATCACAGACCGATTCAAACGCTTATTTGTTGCTCAAGATTTTTCATTGGTTTTTGAGAATGGTCACATCATTTTCTAAATCCCTTGTGCGCGGAAGTGCGCGCGCGCGCTCCCTCGTCCATCCATCGCTTTCAATTGCACATTGAGCCACTGGTAAATGACCTACCCATAGCAGCGATTCATTGTTGGGCCAGTTTTAAATGGAAGAAAGAGAAAAGCACACACAATAAAACATAAGACCAAATGAAAATTGTAGATACCAATAAAAATGAAAAATAAAGAGAAAAATTGTACCACAATGTATTGAGACAAAGCAAAGCAAAGCAAAATAATCGTAAAAAAAACAAACTCACTCTCTCATAAGTACACACAAGGAAAGCACACATAAAAAAAATACACCGAAAATAATACAAACGAAGAGACAAAAGAAATAAAATAATGTAAGCACTGAGAAAATTGGTGTTTAATATACATTTTCCATTATTGTGTATACACCGAATATAATATCTGAACAGTGTATTCTCAAAAATGAGTGCGCAACTAGTTGTTCCTACCCCCAAAATAAAAAAAAAACAACAACCACCACCACCGCCACCATCAGCAACAAGAAATACGACCGAACCAAATAAAAAAAAACGCATGTAGACGATGAAGGCGACGGCGATAATGATAACAACAACAAATCCAAGCAATTTCATCAGAGCAGCAACAGTACACCATGCATAAGGCGATGACGATGACAATGCCATAGCATTGAACTGATATGAACGGTTATTATGGATCGTATTCTAAGATATAAGTATATTTCATATAAACAGTCTTTTCTACGTGGATATGTGTATACTATTTATTGTTGCTGCTGCTATTGCTGCTACAGGGAACAAGATGTGGAAAAGCTCAAGCGATATGCTAACGAGCACACTGTTTCGTTTTGTCGAAAATTTAGCGAAGATATTTTGTTTTTTGCTGTTCGCTGTATAGCGCGATTTCATCGCAAATTTTCATACACGAAAATTCGTACACACATGAGAGACACGTATACACTGTACGACGTGGATGTATTCATTTTAAAATCAGTATGAAAAAAACGCATACAAAATATATCGAGAAACTCTGGGGAAAACGAGCGCCAGAAAAAAATGAATATATATATACGCTAACAACTATGTTGCATACATAATACTACATGTACAACAATGTACATTTACTGCACACTAAAATAGTGCACTCAATTCCAATGATTTCGTCGCAACCTGGCTAAGTACACATGAAACGCCAAACAAAACGAATCGAAATAATGTAAATTGACACGTTTACTTTTCTCTTTCCCTTTCTCGTATCGCATCGGATGTGCGACGATACTGCAGCAAAGCGCGCACGCTTTTCTTTGTTTCTTCCTTTTGTGCGCGAATTTTTGTGCAACGTTCTCATTTTTTGTTCGTTTACGTTCATTTTTTTTGGGTACATTTTTGTTATGCTTCACTTTTGCAGCCACAGAAAACGATGTAAAGATGAAAACATATTGTGAACGCGCTTAATAGAAAGATATGTTGCTTTTTCCAACCGAAAACCACCTAGATAATTTGAAAGCACAACGCTTCAACAAGCATTCGCCCCTATTTCATTCAATGCATTGCCCTGAGTCAAACACATGAACTCCCACTCATATACTCAAACTTAACCGATTTTAATATCCTTTGTTCAATTAACTACTTTCACATCACGTACACTTGACTCTCATCGTAATTCGCTTCATTTATGTGGTGCACGATGACGCAATGGTGGACAAGCACAGTATATTAAACTAATGAATTGAATATACTGTAAGTGTGTATAGTTTGTATGAGTGGGTTAGATCCCATTGGAAAAATCAAGGATTCGAAAAACGGTACCTTTATACATTTGTCACAGAAAGAATAGTTCGTTTTGCCATGTATGGGTGGTGGTGGATGAATATGTGCCACAACGCCTTTGCCAAAAGTATATGTGACACAAAAAACCAGCCAGTCAAACGCAAAAGCTAATTCAATTTAATCATTAATGTTCGTCTGAGTCACCGGTGTGAAAGTGATGCTGGTGATAATATCATTTTTTTCCCTTTCGTAGGCTAAACGAAATATGAAAGTGGAAAAATGGAAAATAAAACAAAAGCCAGTGAAATGGCAAAACAATGGATTCGATATGAAAAACGAGCCAAACGAAACGAAATGAATCGCTTGCACACAAAAATGAGAGTCCGAAAGAGAGAAAAAGAAAGAAAAGGACAGAAAACAATAACAACAACAACAACCAAAAGAATAATAATAAGAACAACAGCAACAATAGAAATCCTTTTGATCTGACCGAGAGCCCTCTGCTCACTTACATTTCACGTTCAATAATCTAGATCCTTTTGCAAACGCATACTTATTGTATTATGCATACCAGCATGTTCACCTTCATGAGCACAACTAAACATTCATACACGGCGCACATAAATGAATTTCAAATACCGAGAGACAGTTGCACATAGCACAAAATTGGGATCAAGAAAGCGCCAAACGTATATAGAAAAGCACACATACACACACACATACGCAATGACAGAGATAAATAAAGAGAGAAAAAGACACCATCGTCCAAATGAATGAAATAAAAAGAATAAAAGAGAATCACAATGAACGAATATCATTCGCTGCAAGCATAGTCGGCTGTTGCCATTGGCACATTCAACCTTGTTTATGTGGCTTTATTTATGCTTTCGGTCGAGAAAATCCTGTTGCTGCCTTCGCCTATAAATGTATTTTTTTTTTTTTTCTGTTTTCGTTTCACATTCATCGGTCGACAATGTTCAACATCAAATTTGTATTGGATTTGGTTCGAATGATGTGCATACAATGACATTTCACCTTTTTTATGTTTTTTCATTTCATATTACCGTATAAGAAAGATTTTTAGCGATGATGATGATGTCTTGTGGTTCAGTCGATGTCGTCGCGATTATGAGAAAATCCAAAATAAAACAGTTCTTTGTTCCATTTTGGTTACCCAAAACAAAACAAAATAACGATAATAAAACGAGCAACAACAACAGCATCCACCAAAGTATTGTAACGAGGAAAAGAAGGAGAAAAGCCAAAGACCAAAGACCATTTCAAAGCAACCGCATCTATTGACCATCGCCACACACACACGCACACACACAAATATATTGGCGTCCAAAAAAATTTCGATCTGAAACGATATCAGGAGATTCAAAGTTTGTACACGTTCTAAACGACCATTTCATATTACAAGAATGGCATTGACGCTTAGCCAATATCTTTTTCCATTCTAGTATTTTGAGCCCGTTCGAACGATTTGCTCACGTTCGCCGTGTTAAAAAAATGTTTCCCTGCAATTTTACTCCGTTTTGGCCCCGATGTGCTGCTTCTCATATATTGCCGTGTGGTACTCTTATTTTTTACGTCCTTCTAA